CGGTAACTACATGGTGGTTTCGTTAGAGCATATCGCGGTAAACCTATATTGCGGTATGACATACCGCGATAAAATGCGGTTTATTTCGCACACCGCGGTCTCCAAAGATATAACCGCGCTCATTATCAAAAAACCGCGTCTAACAGCGGTATCTACTTAAATATTTTTCCGTGGGTATTGAAGGTAAAGAGCACTTCGACATTATGTTTAGACTGTTGAAGAGAAGGAAATATAAAGAATATCGTTGGAGTTTCTATTCTTTTTACTTGATGAACGGTAGTTAATAACGGCAAGCATGCATGTTAAAGTTTAGAGAACTTGAATGCTGCACTTGAAAGAATCCATACAACGAAAATAATCTCTCTGATTGATAAATTCTACTAAAAAAAATGACTCCAACAACTAAAAATTCGGACTCTCTACAGAATACAGATCATAACGATCCATTTTCACATCACTTTAACTGTCACTGCCAATTACTTCACTAATGCCTTTTAAAGTTTCACTAATGAGGAATCTATACTTTATTATGTGATGAAACAAATACTTATTACAAAACATCAACACTACTGACAGAAAAGTTTTACGTTCGACAGCGAACCATTTTATCGAAAAACATCTTATAATATCTATCAGAGAATCATTACATAGAATATGAAAAGTTTATATCATATATCAAGTATTAAAATTTGTTCCTAATATTTAAATATTTTAGTATAACACTAAAGTAAGTCATTCAATATTTGTGAAATGTTATCGATGATCATTGATATATTTGTTTTCATTAGATATTGTTGCGGTTCATTTTCTTTTTAACATAGACGCTCAAGAATTTGAACTTAGTACGTCAGAACATTAAAAAACAAGGCGCAAAATATCTGTATTATGCACTACGAAACAACAAAGTGACTATCAGACCTATTCACTACTGGAAGAAATTTTATTCATTGTTACATTATAGACAATTCGGCGTGTTCGACTAGATTGCAATGCCTTAGGTGAAGAAGGTGCACAGTTCATTGGTGAAGTCTTAAGAAAAAATAAGGTAACATTAATATTTCTGCATTTCATTCTCAATGTATTTTTACAACAAAAAGACACTGACTTGCATTAGTCTAAGAGACAATCAAATCGGAGCTAATGGAGCATACTATTTGAGTAATGGATTGAAAGGAAATTCGGTAACTTCCTTTTCCCATAACCATATAGTTGTTTATTTATTTTTTGTTATTTATTGCGTAGACGATTCGTAATATTGATCTAGAAAATAATGGAATCGGAGAGGATGGTGCAATTTGTATAGCTGAAGTGATCGCATCTATTAAGGTAATTCTTCATTTAATTTCACCTCTAGTTCCGTATTATCTTTCCTTACATGTTTACATCACAAGACACTTACTGGACTCAATCTTGGGAAAAATCAAATTGGAATCCGTGGAGCAGAATATTTGAGCAATGTATTACAACAAAATATGGTTACTATAAATTATTACTATCCTGTTCAGAAAAGTCGATTAATCTTTCTTATATAGATAGTCAGCCATATTTGTCTAGAAGACAATCAGATCTGTGACGAAGGTGTACGATTTCTAGCTGAAGCTTTAAAAAATCATACGGTAATTTTATAATCGAGAATTCTGTGCTTCACTATGTAGTTTTTTTTCTCACACTAAAGACACTTGTATCACTTCACCTTGGAAGCAATAAAATCGGAATCAACGGAATAGAATATCTAAGCAATGTATTACGAAACAACACGGTAAATTTCACTCATTTATACTATATACAATCAGTTAAAAATTGAAGTTTTACATAGAAAATTCGTCATATTTATCTAGAAAATAATGAAATAGCCGATGAAGGTGTACGGTTTCTTGCTGAAGCTTTAGCCAATAATGAAGTAAATTTGTTTATTCTATATCTTTTGTGGAACTCACGTAACCCAACATAAAAAGCTTTAGAAACCATATGATGTATCAGTGATTTTATAAATGTTCGAATAAAGACTATTTTTCAGTATATAAATCTTGTATCAGGGCAACTATTTTAAAGGATATACGTGAGTTCCACATGTCAGCCCTTTTGGCAGTGCGCTAACAAGCTTTTATGTTCTGTTTTTGTCGTTTGGAAATAGACACTAAATTCACTTTCTCTTGGAAGAAATCAAATCGGAACTAAGGGAGCACAATATCTGGCCGCCTCACTTCAAAACAAATTGGTAATTATGAATTAACGCTTTTTTCTTAATTCATTTAGTTTTGCTTTTTGTTGAATTGCCTCTCATAAAAGAAAACATCAGTGTCTATCAAGCCTTTATATTGTTTCACTTCGTACAAACCAAATATTTCTTACAGATACCAGCATAGGGATTTATTGTGTACAAAAAATTACAGAGAAAAATCCTAGCTTAATAGAAGTTTTCTTACACTTTTATATTTTTTTGTCCATTATGTCTATCAACAGAAGTTAAATATACTCGATCTCAGATATAATAAGATTGGAGACCAAGGAGCTCTTTGCGTGGGAGAAGCTTTACGAGAGCACATGGTAAGTATGCATTTTATGTCATTTTTCTCAAAACTTTGATTATTTTGTTTCACAGGCATTAAGAGTATTAAATCTTAGTTCCAATGAAATCAGTGCAGCAGCTGCGGATCATTTCTATCAATTTTTTCAAAATAAAAATGTAATATTTCATGTTTATTCAGTGCAATGCAAGTCTTATATATATATATATAGAAACTTGTGCAATTTGACTTGAAAGGTAATGCAGAATGTGATGCTACTGCTATGGAAGCATATTTTCAAATAAGAAACAACAAGGTCATTTTCATTCTTTCCATACCGTTCCCAAATGTGTAAATAAATTTTTTTATGTAGAAAACCATCGAATTAGATCTTCGATCTAATCAAATTGGAGATAAAGGAGCCAAATACATTGCTGATGCTTTACAAAATAATACTGTAATTAACAATTGTTATTTGTTTGTATGTGACACTCATTCTATTTAGACTCTTATGCAACTTGATCTAAGATCAAATAATATTGAAGACAAGGGAGTAGAAGATCTCTTCGATGCTTTGAAAAATAATAAAGTCATTTTTGCAAAGCCTCGTTTTTTTTGTTATGACGAATTTTTTTTCTTCAAATAGACTTTGAAGAAGCTTCGTCTTACTGGCAATCGAGATGGTCGTTTTATTGCCCTTGAAACAGCTGTTTGCATTAGAAGTCAGAAGGTCATTCAGAATACTTTTTCTTGTTCGATATATTCTTATTGATACTCTATCAAATAGAATTTCAAGCAACTGCTATTGTCATCAAATCGAATTGGGAACAATGGAGTTCGATATCTGACCGAAGCATTACGACATAACTCGGTGAGTCTCATCTATTTCTACTTGAACAAGATTTTCTGGATGATTTTCACATAATAATCAATCTCAAGTTTCTTTTTGTTTTCATTTAAAAAAAAAACTTACGAAAAACTATAGCATTTTCTGTCGCTCAAAAATCAAAATATAATTTTTTAATTATCAATGCAATTGTCTTTTATCTTTTGGTATCAGATTATTTCGACAATTGATCTGTCAGGCAATCAAATCGATGATAAAGGATTACACTATTTGACTGATTTCTTAAAAAACAATACGGTCAGTTTCAGTCGATATTTCTTCACTAATTTCTTCTTGCTCTTAATAGTCTGTTCATATATTAAAATTAAATATAAATTCTATTACCAATATGGGAGCAACATATATAGCAGAAATGTTGAATGGCAACAAGGTAAAAATCATTGATGATTGATGTCGGTGTACGTCTTTACATTTTTCAGACAATTACTGTACTCGAACTCAATTCAAATAAAATTCAGGATAAGGGAATAGAAAATCTTGCTGATGTTATTATAAAAAATAAAGTGAGTTCTTTTGTTATCTTCTATGCGCTCTTCAAATATAATTCTTTTCTCTAGACACTTAAAACACTAAGTTTAACGAAAAATCCAAGTGTTTTAGCTGTAGCATTAGAGAAATTTGTAGACCTACAACAAAATAAGGTATTCTCATTTTTCAAATTATTTTTTCAACTCTTCAATATTTATTTGTTACTACAGGAGTTCAAAAAGTTACAGCTATCGAGAGAACATATAGGGCTCATTGGTGCAAAATATATTAGTCTCGGCTTACAAGAAAATACGGTTGATATTATTGATAATTGGTTTCTAAAATATTTTTCAGTAATCTAGACTATTACTGGATTAGAACTCTGTAACTGCAATATTGGAGAGGAAGGGATGAAATATATTGCTGATGCATTGAATTATAATAAGGTAAACATTGATTAATTAATTGAATCAGTTTCATTTTTCATATTATTCAAAATTAGGCATTAATTGAAATCAATCTTGAGGGCAATCAGATTGGAAATACAGGAGCTCAATATCTAGCTGATGTCTTAGAACACTATCCAGTATTGATCGTACATTCACTTTATATTTGTTTTGTTCCTTTTGTTGTACTTATAGACTCTCGTTCGACTGAACCTTGAAGACAATGGAATCGATGGTCAAGGAGCTCAATATTTAGCGAATGTTTTAGAAACTATTTTAGTTAATATCAAGGATTATTATGCCTTAATATCATACTTACTTGTTCATTATAGGTACTTAAAGAATTAAATCTTACTAAGAATATAATTGGAGAACAAGGAGCGAAATATCTTGCCGATGCACTGACTACGTCAAAGGTAATCACTAGTAACATGTTTCAATTATTTTTAACTTTCACCTTATTGAAAACTAGACATTAATCAGATTGGATCTTGCCGATAATCGAATTGGAAAGGAAGGAGCACTGTATTTGACTAAAGCAATAGAACATAATCAAGTACCTATCAATTTTGAACCGTATCACTGATGTCTATCGTTTTTGTTTATCATACTAATAGACTCTCACTTCACTTTCACTTGAAAATAACTGTATTGGAAACCAAGGAGCCCAATATTTAGCTCATGCTTTAGAAACCAATATAGTAACTATTAATCGCTAGTTGTTTCTCGTTTTCTTTTTGTGTTTGTTATAGGTACTTACCAGTTTCGATCTCGGAAAAAATCAGATTGGAAATGAAGGAGCAAATTGTTTCTTCAATGCACTCAAAAAGAACACGGTCAGATCTTAAATTATTTTAGTATTCGTCACTTCATTCTTAATTTAGAATCTGAAAAATCTACATCTGAATGATGATAAAATTACTGATGGTAAAACTGTTTCAGCTATACTGAGATTGTTGGATTGTGTAGGAGCTTATGTCTCTTGAATATTATTATTGTTAATTCATCATCTGTTTTCTAGACCAACGACTGTCTTTGGCTCGACTTTTATAGAATGGAAGACAATTTAATCGAATTGTTGTCATCTGTTTTACAAAGAAATAAAGTAAGCAGCCATTTATCTCTTGTTTAATATGTACTTTAACAGATTTTCTTTAGACCATTAAACATATCTCTCTTATCACAAATAAAATAGGTGATAGAGGTGCACAAGTTTTAGCTTCATTAATAAAAGATTCTAAGGTAATCATGTTACTTGCTTGATATATTCCATGATTATATAATGAATATCGGTAATAGATGCTCATCAGCTTAGATCTTAGATCAAATCTTATTGGAGATCAAGGAGCTGGTTATCTAGCCGATGCTTTGATGAATAATACAGTAATATAGACTATTTTAAAATCTTGATCTATTTTGTTTGACAATTTGTTTATAAGACACTGACTAAACTTAAACTTCGTGGAAATGAAATCGGACCGTCGGGCACAAAATATTTGATAGATGCTCAACAAAATCGAACAGTTAGTCATTTGGTAATCCTTTCAGCTTTAATGGTAAATTTTTAAATTTAATTTAGACACCTATTCAACTAGAACTTAACGGTAAGCACATTGAAGAAATTTTATTTAGATTTTTAAACACTTTTCAATGACAATATTATAAAGCTATCAGCTCTTTACTATCATTAGTGTTCCACTTTCACTCAATGTCATCATCGATGATGTCAACACAAATATTGCCAATCGAATGTTCTCTATTATCCAACGGGGCAAAAAAACCTCCTTTCAGATCTTTATAATCACTAAAATCACTTGGAATCACATGAAATCTGTGCATATCGAATTTCATGTAATTCTATGATTCTAAGAATGCATCAGTCTCAACTAAGGCAAGTCTGCCCAGGGATCTAGTCTAACTGGGTGCTTATCAGCCCTATTGAGTATTCGGTACAGTAGCCTAAAATTAATTCGATAATTAGAAAGAACTTTTCGGAATCGAACTCTTTTATCAAAGAAGTATTAACTGTAACAAAAATAAATTGTCCTTTTCGGAACAAAGATCTTCTTCAGGAAGAAAGTAACATCTTTTCTCACGAAAACAGTATATTTGAGAAAAAATGATTATTCTTTGCTAAATACGTTAAACCGGAAATTTCAAGAAAATGATGTTAGATTAGATTCTTTGAGGCTGGAAATCTTTACACTTAAAATGAATTCTGTTTGTCAGAGCAACTTTAGATCAAGCTCTAGGTTATCCATTCCGATTAACTGATGTCTCCATCAGTTAGCCCAATGACTCTGAGCGATTCCAGTAATTTTGAAGATCTGCAAGCAGTTTTTTATCTAGTTTCAGAGTCAATGAAATGATGCAGAATCAATAGAATCAGCTTTTCCTCCCTTGCTTTTATCTAATAACGTTTAGAATAGAATCTTATTCGCAAATTGAATAAATTGAATTGTTTTCAGTGATTTTGTTTTGGATCACAGTCTCAAGACAATTCGTAGTAGCATAGTTTCAATATCTAAAAACGTTGTTAATCTAGAAACTTCTATACATAGCACTTGTGAACAACTTACAAAATTCTTCCTTTATGGGCAGCATTCACACGTCATTTTAAGAATATATGCATAGTATTAATTATAAAAAATAGTAAAAGAGGACAATGGATTATGCATGATATTGTATTCACAATTCAAAGTATGTCCAACTCTCTATTATTATTATATCTTCTGGTATGAAACAGCGTTTTTGATAAAAGCTATTTAAAATAATGAACAGTTTTAGTTGTCAATTAGCAACGTTTTTATCTAACGGTACCATACGTTTTTATCAAAAATCAAACCAATTATAAAATTATCTGTTTGAATTCGATTCAGTTCAGGTTAATGTCACAAGATATATTATTGAATTTGATCTACTAGAGATCCTTTCAATAAATTTTCTTCCTGAACATTATGATTTTCTACCAGCTTTATTAAAATATGTGCATTAAGGCAAATAAATATTACAAAACAAAATTGTTGACTGTCTATTACAAATTAATAGGTTTTGAGTATTCATATCATTGCTCACTTGTGAATATTCTATAAATTCCATTGAAAATAAGTTTCGTCGTATTCAACTAAGCGTATAATAATGACAATAGTAATTCTCCGAAATTAAATCATTGATAAACTGTTCTGGTAATAGCCTTCACAGATATTCGATTGTAGGAGGCGTAAAGAATCTATAAAATCTGTGATAGAATAGTTTCCAACTGTTTATCAAAAATCATTCTAGTTGACCTTGATCTTTGAATAAAACTTGCTAAATTCGTATTAAGCAATTGCTTGTAATCAGGATTGCTTGTATTCAGCAGTAACAACCAGCTTTCTGAACTGAAATTGACCGACTGTGTATAATCTAGATGAAGATTTCTAATTGAGGATACGTTGTTAGGAAGCTAAAATTAGACGAATACTCTCATGACAATCGAACTATTAGAATTTCTAGTTGAAAATAATCAATGCGAGTAGATCTGTTATTGAATTCATCACGATAAACATCATCAAATGATTTTGCGTGCTTCATAGATAAATCTCTAATCCTAAAAGATAAAGCATCAAATTCAAACAACTGGCACGTGTTGGTTTTCAACGCGAAAAGAGTGCAAACTTTTGTAATGCGAAAAATCATTAGTTTGACTCTACTTTCTTTCCCAACATACAGCATTTTCCGCGTATTATATAAGTATACATATACACTCTGTTTTGTGCTATTTTGATTTTTTCAGGTACGCTGAAATTGCAATGTCCATGGGGGCATCGTCTTGAACTATGGAATTCGAGTATGCGTAAGGAAATGTCTGAGAAAAAGTTTAAACGTCGACGTGCATCAGTGAAAATTGAATGTGACATATGTTCGAAAAATTCTCATCTTTCATGGTATTGCCCTTGTTCAATGAAAGGATTCGACATTTGTGAAGAATGTGCAAAGAGAAACGATTAAAATTTATCGTCAACAGGACTAGACCTCATAAAAATTATACGACTGTTCAATTTTTATTAAAGTATTTCCTATTGATATGTATTTATTTATCATCTAACAAATATTAAATGAAATAATATAATCACTAATATAAAGATGGAAGTTTTTTTCTAGAAGCATTCTTGGATGTGAGCATCAGTATTCAATTCATCCACACACATAAACATTTTGCTTTCTTTCAATCAGGCTTAATCGAAGCAATAATACGAAAAAATTCGAAGAGATGCCCAAGAACTTTTCCTCTGCCTATCTAGACATATTTTTATTCTTTGTTTCATTTCTTTCAGTTCTGTATTTTCGTAAATCAATTCAAAAATAGATCAATCGATCCTTTAACGAAAAGACAAATCAACATGTTAGTCTCAACTCTTGCTTTTCAGCAATCGATCGAAGTCGCAAATACAAATATAACTTAAATTTAAATTTAAATATGCATCAACTTCAAATATTTTTTTAAAGATTAATGCAGAGGGTGTGGGTGTGGGTATCGGCGAAGACGAGCTCAACATCGACATTCACACACGAAACCTACCCACACTCACACCCTTTTAAGCATAATATACGCCCAACCTTTTCATGCAGAAAATTTGCTGTTGATTTTCACTTTGATCAATTGTTGAAATTGAATAGTTATCAATATTTAATTATAATTATTTTTTCGTTTAAGAGATAGGTCTATCTATTTTACGGTTGAAGTCAATCAAAAGAATGAGATAATGCAAAAACTATGGTATTAACTGTCTGTGTCTTCGTCTAGAAAAGAGAAATCCAACTTTCCGTCATTGTTGAAGTCACGAATGAATACAGCAAAAACAACTGAATAATAGTCCGTCGGCATCGACAGCACACTTTAAAAGTTACGATTACCGTATTTACAACTGTTTTATTTCAGTTGTGCGATGTTAACTTTGAGATAGACTAAATTTTTATAATGTGGATTTGTTCCAAATTCAGGTAAAATGTTATTTTCGCGATTTGAGTTGATCTGCAGTGATGAGATAGAATGTTTTGTTGTTTCTTTTCGTTTCTGTATGTCAATAAGATGCGATTTTCATGTTATTATCAAACAAATAATCGATTCGTTATGTATCATTGTCCTAGTTAAACAAAGAAAAGTCAATTAAAAAGAGATAGGATACTACGGACAGAGTTGGACTCGGTCCGGTCCGGCCGGTCATCACCGGTTTTTTGCCGGTTGAAATTTTTTTTTATAGATCTGCTATTTTTTCCTTGCAAAAACTATTGATAACAATTTTTCATGGTTTTATCAAAGTAACCGTTGAATTTCATGAAAACAAAAATGTGTTTCATTGTTGTAAAATAAAGTCAAAGCTTTATTTCCTGGGTCTAATTTATTTCATAACATTATTTTTAAAGATTGAATTTAATTTGAAATATTATTTGGCGAGAAATGCAAGGCCTTTTCCGATTTGGAAAATGTTTTGGACTGACCGGACCGGTCTTAAAATTCTAGATTGGTTCCAACTCTGACTGCGGATACGTTATGTTTTAATTTTGCTAATGTTCAAGCTTTTTTCGAGAATATTGAAATGAAACAGAGATGGCAAGTACTTCCTAAATATTCATACTTCAAATCAATTACAAATCTCAATTTCCTTTTGTAATTCCTACGTGTGCAAGTGTGAATGAATCTTGTGGACGGATTATTCGTTAGTGAATTGATCATAATAGCGCAGATAAATAATCTAATAAATGAGTTTTTCTTATGTACATGAAGTTCTGAAATTCTCCAATGCACATATCCAAACAGTTATCTATTTTACCGATTACGTCGCTTGAGAAGCTGATATGTTGTTGTTGATGTGTCTTCTTATTTGAGAAAACATAACGCCGAAATTAAAAAGTTGCTGAAGTTAATTTCAATGATTCTTTTAAATTTAAAAAAAATCACTCAATACTTATCTTCAAAATACTTTTACGGTCAGTTTTACTTTTAAATAGCTGTAATTTATAGAGTTCACTAAACAGCATTGCGGTTATTTATGGAATAAAGCTGTTTTTCTTGATTTTTAACACGATTAATTGCCATACACGAAATGAAACATCGCATGGTTACGAATTAATCGAAGTTAACAAACATTTGTAAGCAAAAATGAAGAGTATTAAAAAAAAGATGCCTTTGAAATTATTGTTTGCCTTCGATTAAAATTTTATCAGCTAAGTATCATTTTTTGTCGACCCTAGCTCGTGTATTTTGTCTATTAGTTTATCAATAACAAAGAAAATAAACTTTTATTACGGGGGGTACACCCCACATAGGTATGTATCTATTCGCACGAAATTGTAGAGAAAATGAAACTGCACATACCCTGAATTTTTTTCGGCAAACGAACGTGCTGCAACAGAGTTATGATCTTGACAAGTTACATGCCTCTTGAGGTCACCTACCTGGTCTACTATTTGAAAAAACGTTTTTAAGCAAAGCTTTCTACTTGATGTCTTGGCAGTTCGATAGAGTAAACCGAGTTGTATATGCCCTGAAATTTTTTTGCGATACTTGCAGGAATAAACTCAGGGAAAATACGATTTTTCCACTATAGTGCGTTTTTGCTACTAAAAAGTATTTTTTAAAAACCTTGTCTGTGATTTCAGGAATATAATGCATTATAATTAAAAAACTGCCTTGTCAGAAAGATGTGCCATGAAATTCTGAGTAATGTGAGCGCATCAGAATTTTCATTTTGAAAAAAAAATTCGAACAAAAAAATAGAATTGTTCGTGCCTCTTCCAAGAGAAAAAACGGCGAAGAAAAATGTCTTACTAGCTTGGGTCTTATGTGCCGCATTTTTCTACTTCAGGATAAGTATATCATTTAGTGTTGTATACCAATCGATAGAGAATTAAATACGCTACAAAACTATATATTTCCCAAACCCAAAAGACATTGGCCACTTGGTAAATACCAATACAAACTATCCGTGAAATATCAGTTTTTTCGATTTTTCGACTTTTTTCATCTTTCGAGATATTTTTGTATTTAAAATTGAAATGAACATTTGTTTTGACCTTACTCATTCGATAGATCTTTTCAAAAGCTACAAAACTAGATACTTTTGGCTATGGTTTAGTGTAATGGAGTGTGACAATCTCAAGTTTTTGTGGAACTTCAGAATGATTCGAAAAATATAAACTTTTTAGTGTTTGTTCAAAGACTAAATGTTTGAAACGGTGATTGAACAAGTACAAGTACAGCAAGTATAAGTACAAATACTTGGTACTTTTACTTGAGTACGATTTACTCAAGTAGATGTGTACTGAATACCGACACTAAGTACATTGTACTTACATGTAATAAATATCAATTTACTGAAGATTTATTCTAACAGTAATATATCTACTGTATTGCGTAATATTTAGATTGATAATACCCATCTTATTTGGCAGTTTACTGCCATCTACATAAAAAATATGGTTATCAATTAGAATAATTGAACTACGAAATATATATTATATGAGACTGTTAGTTTTCTTGCATGATTATTACGACCAAAAATTAATATGTTAACGCGCTCAAAAACCTAAGATCCTCTATGCACACACTAATGCATGGCGAATAGAAATTAGCTATGTTCGTATCATTATTATACTACCAAGCTAGTTACTTCTTTTATCGAACTCACCAATATTTTCGAAGAAAATAGTGAGTTTAAGTTGTATAACGAGGTTTTGTGGCTTCCCATCCTCTAGGCCCAGCAACCAAGTGGAGGGACATCAATATTTTGGCATAAATTTTGTTAGTAACCAAAGGGGGGCGAAATCAAACATTACTTCATGAGCTTCCCTAGCAGCGAGAGAATATAAATAATAATAGTGTTTAGATCATTCTGGAAGTCTGTAGATTCTAACTGTTGTAAATATGAGAGGGGAGAGCAGGGGGGCAGAGATGAGTATTAATGTAGGAAAAGCCTTTCATTTTGGCGTCACTCAGTAAAATGATAAAATGATTAGTTTAGCTAAGGCAGAATAGGGAGACATGGAAAGCTATAGACTTACTCATTGAAATGTAGGCAAAACTCAATAGCATACGCCAAAAATCATGAAGAGAAAGGAATGTAGACTAAGAGATTTCATGAACGATTAAATGGATGTACATAACAGGTTAATATGCAACAAAACGAAGAATAATTTGATATTTATCCTTTATTATGCCACCCGTCGTATATAGTATGATAAGGAGAAAAGAATACCCTAGTGAAACATCTTGTAAGTAAGATCTTGGCCAAGATCTTGGGTGCAGATAAGTGAACAGATCTTGAAAATTTAGGTACAAGATAACTGCATTATCTTGTACCCAAGATCTTATTACAGATCTTAAGTAAGAGTTCATAACATCTTGAATGATGCATTCTGAAAGTATGTTTGGTATTTTTTCAATACATTTTAATATTAACTATTCCTGTCCCGAATAGCTCAAGCAAATCAGATGTTGAGATCTGGCCGGCTTTAAGTTGGTCCGATATTCGCCAGACCAATTTAGGGTAGCCCTCTCTCGACCATCGATCGAGATCAGCATCTTCTCGATTAATCAATAGTCAAGAAATAGTTCAGAAAAAAACTTATTTTGTAAAGTTATGTTTTTGCATGTTCAATCATGTTGCTTATATTCTGTTCTGTATGCATAAAAAAACGGTGAATGACTAGATAGCCTATCTAAATAAACTAATGATGTCGCTTTCTGTTTTACTCAAGATCTTGTGAGAAGATAATAGTAAAAGAAATCGTTGTCATGATCTTACTAAGATCTTAGGTACATATTTATCAGATAGGACAAGATCTGAACAAGCGAATTATCTTTTAAAGATCTTGATAAGATCTTACCTACCAATCCCAAGATTTCAAGATCTTACTTACAAGATGTTTCACTAGGGTAGGCATACAAAATGTATATGACAATATATATAAATTTGTTTAAAACAACAATGCTGAATAAATCACATTAGTTGGTACAAAAACAAATATCAATGCGACATTTTTTAAATAAGAAAACTTCAAAGCGCGCGTATCAATCATCAAAATGATTTTAATTTTGACTTATTTGGCATTTGTTAAAAATGAAATTATCTTAGTCTCTCTAACAATATACAGTAAATTTATTACACCCAAAGGGACTGAGTTCCATATTTGAGCATCGATAGGCGCTACACTGACAAGTTTTTTCACTTAATATTATCTTCTATACGATTTCTCATTTTCATTGTTTTTTTACTAAATATAAAAAGACTGGTGGCGGTCGGAGAAGATATTTTGAATTTTCTTCGACCGGAAAAATCGAAATAATGGATTATGTAAAGTCCCTAAAAAATTAATTTTTGAGGGAAATATTATATTAACCCACATGTAAATAAATGAGCTAGACTGAAAAATTAATATAATCAAGCAGCAACGACATAAAAGTACACACTTTGTACTTAAGTACCGGGTACTTACGTTAGTATAGCTCAAGGTGTACTTAGGACTATTGAAATGTACTTTGTACTCAGTATCCCATCTCTGATGGAGTCTACTGTTTCCCCCTTGATAGTGACCCATTGAATGTAGTATTAAAATATCTGCCTAAACGAGTACTTACATCCCCTATGTGAATCGACTTGATTGGGAGCAAAAAGTCAAATGGGCCGATTTGTGGTCTTATGCGCCCCCGTGCTTCGATATTTTAGCAAATCGATAAAGTGAAAAAGGTTCAAGCTTTGTAGAGATCTCACACTAATTTTTCTATGAGGTTGAAAATCGGAGCTCGTTAGAAAGTGACTACATATTCGAATTTTAACACTTTCTTGAAAACTATTCTTATCAGAAATATTGCTCAGCTCTTTCAACTTCTTTGTTAAAAGTTTTATTACAGCAAAGTATAACTTTGAAATCAAAATAACTATGATCATTTAGAGGGGATTAAATAAAACAACTGCATATCATTCAGATTCCCACCTACATCAACCATGAATTTAAGCCATCTGGTGAAATCTATTGTCAGAATAGGTCGAAATCACGATAATGACAGTTTATTGGCTTTATCTAATACACTTGCGGTCTCTGCGAAGACTGTCGAAGTATTATCTTTTACAAATCTTTAGTCATTCAAATTGTTAATCCTTGTTCTTGTCTGATAATAATCATAGAATTAGGGATTTCGTGTTGAATACCAGTCCTTCACTTGACAGGTGATGTACCATTAGTAAATTTTCTCATAATATCTATTTATTTTAGTCGTTTTATCTGTCATATGCGCAAAACTATTTCGAAGTGTATAAAAGAGTGAGTATGAGAATCAAAGCAATAGCACAATGGGATTCTTAATAAAGATTCTTATTCTTCTCTCTTTTGTTGGTATATCACGAGCGTCGATATGCCCATTAGTTTTTGCTCAGAAATATTTCGACGTGACTAAAGTTCGATATTTTCTGTGTTACCAATATGTTCCTATATTATCATCATCTTACTTCTTGCTTTAGTATGCCGGTCTTTGGTATGAAGCCTATCGACATGATATTAATGAAGAAGACGTCACATGTATCAATGGAACATATACGGCTCAGGCTAATGGAACAATGGGTGTATTGAGCCAGGGTCTAAAAAAACTCACTGGTTACTATAGCCACCAAGGTGTAGCTACACCCAAGGCATCTTCAGATCCAGCTGCTTTTCTGATCCATTATAAAAATCCGAGTAATGTCCTTTGATCGTTTATTATCATCATTGATGAGTTTCAATTTTTTGAAACAGCTCAAACGGTGAAGTATGATGTGATTGCAACTGACTACGAAAATTATTCAGTGGTGTATTCCTGTGATTACTTTCCTATAATAGGCCTTCGATTCGAACATATATGGTTTCTCTCGTGAGTTCAAACATATTTGTTTGTTTCGTTACATACGAAAATATATTGCTTTCGTTTAGTCGAAATAAAACTTTGCCAGATTCAACAGTTGAAGCACTCAAAAAGATTCTAAGAGACAAGCTTATCGAAACGAGTGGCATCAATCCAACACCACAAAACTGTTGAACATTAAATATTATCGTATGATTATATGTTAATGTTCATAAAAGAGTAGCAGCCTAATTCGACTTATAATATCACTCGAATTTCTTCGAAGAGTCATTTTCGTTACCGCGTATAAGCAAATAAATAAATAAATAAATAAATTTTTTTTTAGCTTATAAGTTGTCCGGCGACTCTATCTGCAGGCTTCTATCAATTTTTTCGGGATGACTGTTGCGTAGAGCTCGACGGTGGTCTGGTCTATTTCATATATTGAATACGAGGATGAATCTCAGTTTTTTTTCTTTGTATGTTGATCATAATTACAAATTTCAACCAATCGATTCACTACTATTATTCATATGCTCAATATGGTTATCTTATTTTCTTGCTTTTGCCTGGGTCTTCATGAATGGGTTATTCTACAAGCCGTCTACCATATTATACAAAACTAGTGTCACCAGTGGCGTGATACACATTGTTAGATGTAGTTTTGGACGCTGATTTCAATGGTGAAAACGCCAGCCCTCTATCGTTTTCTTAAAAAACGTTATACGCAAAATACTCTCCCAGCGAAAAACTGCGGTTTTCTTCATTATCCAGCAGAAAAGGCCTATATTGCAAAGATTCGTGTAGCTAGAGGACGCGTCGTAGAACCATCATTCTAGTCTCAAATGAAAGAGCGAAGCGAGCTCTGTACATTTCATTGAAACAAATCCATGCCGGCACACAACATACGAGCGAAAAGAATTCTGGAAAACCAGAGGGTTGTCAAGGAATTCTCTCTTATTAATACTGGCCAAAATCGATGAAAATCACCTTCTATATGTATGTTTTTCCGCAGAACCCAGATCTGACATTTAGGCACGTGTAAAAGAATGTTTTCGTGAGGATTCTAAAAAAATCGTCAGGTGTTACAAGGTTTTAGGAGATTTCACTGGATTTCATTATTGTATACGAAATGTATGTCTACTATTCATTTCTTAAATAGTCTGTCGACACTAAGAGAGCCTGTTCCGCTACTGTGACTTACAGATATGGCACTCTGATGACTAGTATACTGCGTGATTGAGATTTTTTATCACGATCACTGTCACGATCACGATTATTTTTGGGATTAAAATCACGATCACGAACATTTTTTTAATGTTAAAGTCAATATGTAAATTGTCAGATTTTTTTATGTAATTATGAACAATATATTTGTGAATATATATTTCATGTTTTGGAAATATATTTAATAATCGGGACTACCATATTTTGATTTCGATCACTATCACAATCACCATCTTCTTTTTACAATCACGATCACGATCACGGTCAAAAACAATTCCAAATCACGCGTGATCGTGATCGTGATATTTTTGATCACGCAGTACATTACTGATGCCACAGGCAAAGTTGGCAATCGACATATGGGATTCGTTTTCATTGTCTATTCAACTGTCGAACATTTCTCTAGTTTAACACCATACTAAAAACCGATAAAATACTCCCCTAGTGAAGGTACTCATAGGGTAGTACTCAAAACGTACTCACGAGCACTCATGGGGTTTGAGTACTCATCAGTAGTACTCGAGCTAGAATTTGACTGGTTGAGTACGACTACTGAGTACTCGTCTCATAAAATTGAGTTTTCTATGAGTGCTACCCACGTACCTTCCGAGTACTCTTGGTAGCTTTTTACAAGATTTACTCATTCATCTATACTTTGTTCACTATATTTTAATACTAAATGAACTCTATTTCGTTAACCTATCAACAATAGTATATTAGTGCAATGAAATGGTTTATAATACTAAGATATTTCATTATTTTATTGTCTATAAATTACACAAATAAATATTATGTTTCAAAAAACAGCACTTAACACACATATTGAAGATAATAAAATATTATTGAAGACAAATGAATTCTCAATGTTTTCGAAAAAGATATTTGATCACTATGAATTCACAGATACAAAAACTACAGAAAAAAGAATACTAAAATTTGTTAAAATACAGTATACTCAGTAGCACGAGCAATTAATATAAAAATTATTAAATGAATTTTTGATCCAATTCGTGTATGAAAACAAATTTATGTTAAAGCGATCCTTATACAAAAAAAAAGAAACTTCATGACATGAATCATTGATGCTATATTTAGTAACCAGAAAAAAATCTTAACTAATCTGAAATAAAATTTAATTTGAAATTTAGAAATTAAAAGTTATCAAATTATTGTTACATTGAAAATAGATACTTAGTTTTATTCGAAAAACGAGCAGTTGAAAATGATAAGTGTCTGTCTGTCTTTCTGTTCACAAAGTGAAATATAGCTGCTTTGGTATATCCAATCTCTGTATGGACAAAAATGAATCATCTATTAAAACTGAAGGATAGAATGAACATATCCACGAAATATTTTTTTGATTTTTTTTAATTGATTTCATCACATTTTGTTTTCATACAATGTAATTTAACTTTTTACATGTTAGTGCATTGGTCTTTTGTCGAAACACAGAAGCGAGTACTACTTTGAGTACTCAGACTATCGTAGGCGAGTGAATTTCAGAAAGTTAACTTATGCGAGTGCTCACTTGAGTACACGAACATTAAAGATACACAGAAAATTTCACGAGTACTCCAACGAGTCTTTTGTGTACTCATGCTGGCAGGTCGTACTCGCTTGACGAGTAGTTTCACTAGGGTCGATGAAAGAAGTGTGTTTAGTAAAAACAAATAGTATAAACGGCGGAAAGCAACATCATGTTTCTAGCATAATAAATGTCTAAAATCTTCCAAAAGTCTGACGAATTTTTTAGAAATCTCACAAAAACATTCTCTTACAAGTGTCTAAATGCCAAATCTAGGTTCTGCGCAAAAACATACATATAGAAGGTGATTTTCATCGATTTTGGGCAGTATCAATAAGAGAGAGTTCCTTGGCTATCCTCTGGTTTTCTAGAAGTCTTTTCGCTCGTATGCTGTGTACCAGCATGGATTTGTTTTACTGAAATGTACAGTACTTTCTTTACTCTTTCATTTGAGACTAGAATGAAGGTTCTGCGACACATTCTCTAGCTACACGAATCTTTGCAATATACGTCTTTTCTGCTCAATAATGAAGAGAAAAGCAGTTTTTCGCTGGAAGAGTATTTTGCGTATAACGTTTTTTAAGAAAACGATAGAGGGCTGGAGTTTTCACCATTGAAATCAGCGTCCAAAACTACATCTAGCAATGTGTGTCACGCCACTGGCGACGCTAGTTTTGTATAATGTGGCTGAAGCCTTGTGGAATAACCCGAATATCAATAGAATCGTTCAGAAACTCCTGATGATAAGTGAATTACAATTTAGATTGAATTCTGGCCTAACAATGCTTTATAAATCTAAAACGAATACTATTGAAAAAGTTTTCAGCGCAGTCCCTACGGGATTAAAATATAAAACACGATGGAGGCATTATCTTGGAATAAAGTTATTTTAATTGGAACTCTAGTAAACATTTCGGATAATGCGCGTGACTATGGAACATGCAAAATTTGCATTGGAACAATAGAGCTCTCAGACTTTTTCCAGACTTGTTACTGATAATCTAACATTATTAGAACGAGAATCAATCGGTAGGCTGTTGACTTTTCTTGAGTTTCCTTGTTTCAATGGTCGCAAACAGAAATGAGACGCTTTAAATGTAACTCCGTTGGAAATTAGATCCAGAAAATCTTTCTTTATGACTTGAAGTTAATTGCTATTACACGTTTACAGGATCGGTTTATAAAGGTAAGTGACTCTCAAGGGTATGTGTGTGTGAGTATATGAAAGAAGTTGTGATCTGTACACCCACACCCTCAAGTTTTAAGGTAGTTAACAGAGGTGTTCTTGTTGTGCATATTATATTAAAATGACCAAGCCACTCGCAGAAATACTTTCAGCTCTCATAAAGGATTGTTTGGGCGACCGAATTATATACAGCTTTATTTGCTTTCCGTGGATGTAAGCAAATGAGGAGATGGAGAGAATGAGTATAGCAATTTTTGCCGCAGTAATCCAAATTACACCAACAGACTCTAAAAGTCTTATTCATTTTTTTACTATAAACTATTATTGTAGTAGTTACTTAGTTAATAGTAACTATCTTGAGGATGTAGGTGTGAGTGTTATTGAAGAGAAGAATAGAACCCATACCCACACCCTTTTTAATAAATATATATATATATATCAGATATAAATTGATCTTGTGATTTTTTTTTGATCATTTAGATTCATATGCCATCTGATGATTCCTTTTGCCGGGATGAAATCTAGATTATGGTAGCTGTTCACACCCACACCCACACCCTAAATTTTTGAAGATTTTTTAATTTGTTTTTAATTTCATTTAAGAATAATTCAAAATAATTTAAGCCATCTGATGAGACCCTTTAGCAAGGTCGAAATCTAGATCACGGCAGTGTATTCACACTACTGCTTTGTGAATTGTTTCTTCTATTACATTATTATTTAATATAATTTTGTAAATTCTTGAAGATTTTATAATTTGTTTTGAATTTTCTTTCGAAATTAGTTCAGAATCATTTAAGCCATCTGATGAGACCCTTTGGCAAGGTCGAAATCTAGATCATGGCAGCTTATTCACACCCACACCCAAATATACATTATGTCATCGATATATAAGCTTAATAGACATGTTCTCCTTCTCGCATGTGTCAGCTACTCAATGTTTGATTGATTGATGTAGGTCTTTAAGATTAACAAGAGAAATAAGCTTCATTGTCCAGATGTTATCTAAATGATCTCTAATTTCACATTTTCAAAACCGTAGTTTGCTTTGTTTGTATTATACAGCTGTTCAATTGCTTGAAGATATTGATCGTGAAGTTGATCGATATCTGTTTGAGATGGATCAATGATTTGATTGACATGAATCGGTTTACCAACTAATAGAATAAAAAATAATTTTTTTCCATCGAGTCCAATGGGAAAGAAAGTTTTATCTTACCAACGGTCGTTACAGGATGACGAAGAGGTAAATAACCAACGATTGATCGTCCCCAAATCCATCGATTTGAAATCCAATTCTTATATTGTCGATAATGTTCATTTTCTCCAAATGTTATAACCGGTACTAATGATACTCTAATAAACAAAACTTCTTTTTTTCTATTCATTCCAATTACATATTCACTAACCCATTTTCTAATGCTAATCGTATAAAACCTTTCCTCTTTTTTAAATAGAATATCATCCTTTGATATTCTGTTAAATATAATTCTTTCATACCACCAATCACAATAACAACAGCATCACCTTGACAAGATGAACCATTTAAGAAATATTGGCAACTCTCTCGTGAGACAGAACATTCACCTAGAATAACAAAACATTCGATGATGGATTTATAATGTTATTCTTACCCAAGCTAAGAAGTAATTCACGTAAAAATGGACTGAAAAAATTGGAATGAAGAGTCATCAAATGATGACGAATACCAGGAAATAGACTTGAAAAATGTGTTGCTTCTGTTAGGAAATTGATTCCAGCACCGACAGTTGCTGTACCATGTGGATGATAACCAAAGATATAATTTCGATTTGGATCAAGATCTTCAGTTTTGATTAATTTTATTGGAAAATAATTAGAAACTATTGACCAAATAGATAATCGACGCAAACGATTCGACCATCGCCCTCCTCGAACAGGGGTATAGCGATCAATATACATCCAACTACCATAAATCAAAGTAATGAGTAATGTCAGTGATAAAGACCAGAAATAGGATAAGAGAATAAATGTGAACAATATCATAAAAGGTGACAAAATGATGAGTGTAATAAGAAAGAATAAAGCCAAATCTTCAATCAAATTCTTCATTATTATCTAAAATCAATTTTTCAAAAGACTAAAAAAAATCATAAAAAAAAGAAACATTATTCACAATGGAAGTGTATAGTTGAGTGGTGGTACTTCAACTTTACTGTAAAAGTTAAAGTTAAAGTGCCCCACCTCGATTATGAATAGCTTGTGCTCGATGATTTTTCACAGGCGATTGTTATGTTAAACATAATACACCATGCTCTCGTGCACAATCACAAATCAGAAGATCACCAATATCTTAACCTTGATATGATTGATCAACATAAAGATCTTCCATTACAGCTAGACGACCACCTTTTTATGTAAACCAAGACCAGAAAACTGTAGCAAAACCAACAGTTTTTCCATCTTGAACATGAAAAAAGTCATTGGTATTTCTCCTTGTTTTGGATTTGTAATTAAGGCTCAAGATACTGATAAAATTCACAATAATCTTGTAACAATGGTAATGAATCGACTGGATCATTTTCATTGACAATATTTATCTTCTAAAGAGTATCTTCGTTGCAAGTCGTCGCCATTTTTGATAAAAAGAAGTATTGCTTTTTTTTCTGTCCTTATCTAGATATGAGTAGTCGATACGAGTCGTATGGTACCAGTTAACGAAAGATGTCCTCAATTATCATGCATGGAGGGTCTGTAGAATTCTTAACAACAGAAATCAGAATTCTACTCGATGAAGTAGAATTGACAGTTAGTTATTTTCTTTACTGTTCGACTGGAACTCGTTTAACAGAATTTTATCAAAATTCCACTGACCATTTTAGCCTACATCGATAAGAATTCTGCAACGACATTAAAACCTTCAGCAGAATTATTTATTGAGTGTGAATTCTCTAGTTATTGTATATGCTATTAGGCCATCCCATGAGTCTAAGTTGTAAGTCAAACGAAGTCGTGTGCAGTAAATGTGTTCAATGAGATTTTGTTGTACGTATGTATAAAAAAAACAACATGAAAATAGCCAGATTATGTGTGGTAAAGCTGAGGATAACTTCTCTGTTGCAGTGATTCCAAAGCAACACACGACGCGTTTCGACTATTGCTCAAACAGTGATTGGGGAGCATGTTTTTGAATCAAATCTACGTTTAAGTCAAGGGAAAAGCCAACAAAATTGAAAGAGAATCGTGAATGAAGTAGAAATGAAAGGTAATGTGCTTAAATTTGTAGGATGTGAAGATCGTAGTCAGGTGTTTTGTGGATAATCGTGGAGGCCTTGTTCTAAAACACGACACTGTTGTTGTTCTGAATTCACTGTCTCCAATTGTTGTTGGATGCCGTCTGTCTCTAATTCATGCATCTGATGTATTTGTTTTAATTGATCGATAATTGTTGTATAGGAGAATGTGGTTGCTTGGCTATCCATTCTGTCCAGTTGTGCTTGTTCCCATTCCTCACGCAAGCACATATTTTCTAGTCTTCTCTGTTCTCCATAGTTTTCTGCTTCATCGAGTCGTTGCATCTCTTCTATTTCTTCTTGTTGTATTTCCAATAGCTGCAGGTCAACAAAGCCTTCAAGGTGATTCCGCATATTTTGATTCCATCGCTCTTCGGGGTCCATTTTCTCGTAACCGTAGACATCCAATAGTTGATCCTGAATCTTCTCTTCCCAACCTTCGTCGAAATCAGGCAATCGACTTCGAATATACTCTTCATGTTGTCGTTCTTCAGCGACTCGTTGAAAATACTCATATGAACGGTGATATCGCGGATATAATGAATAGCGAAAGCGCTGACTTATTTGCTGTTTACGGTGAGCGTTCTCTGCTGTCCGTTGCTGTCGGGATGTGGGTGTGGGTATGGGTTCTATTCTTCTCTTCAATAACTCACACACCCACACACCCACCTTCAATATATCATGGTAGCTTAACACACCCACACCCAAAATAAGCTTCTATATTATAAGAAACTGAAAATGAAGATTAGAAACTTCGCTCAATATGTAAAGAAGAACTTCAGGGAAAAAATAAAAAGTTTCATAATTATATTAATCATTGTTATCATCAATCGATAAAGACGATATCAGCGAAGTAGATCTCAGCAGAACATAATCTATTTTTATAGTTTAATTATTTGTCAAAAATTCCGTTGCAATATATTTAGGGAAAAAACAATTTGTTCTTATATCAATGAGACAATCGTTTTCATGCTATTTTTCTTCTTTTTAATGCTTTTACACGTGCACATTGATATATATATAGACTTGTTCAGCTATCGCACAGACAGCGAAAAAAAAGAAACAAACAAGTTCGATGCTACTGAAAATATGACAATGTAATTTTCATAAATAAAATATTAAAAGAATATAAAAATGAAAAGAGTATTTGTTTGATTTGATCGATAAGATTCTTTCTTCAGAAATTTATCTATTCATTAAAAAAATCAATTCAAGACTAATAGCTAGTGTTATTTAATCCCTGAATGACTATGTAATTCATTTGATATGCAACTATTTGAAATTTTTATTCAGAACATAGTTTTGTTGTCGTTACTCTGAATGACAATTACGAAACAATTTCAGTTAATATGAACTTTGACCTATCCACATTGCTATAAACGCTTTTCCATCTCTATCGCTACTTAACGAGGGCTGGTAAAATATAACAGCAGCACCAGCAAAAGCAACTTTAAAAAATGTTCGAAATAACTTTCTATTTTCTCCTTTCAATATCTGTTTTCAATTTCAATTTCAACTTTAATTGTGTTAGGTATTTATAAGATATTCTACTTATCTGGAATTCTGTGCTTCTGATTGCGTTCTATTCCTTTGATCTGGGTCAGCATTTCTGCCATGATTCTGCTTTTCACATAGCTATCCTTTTTTTTGTTATAGAAGTATGTAAGATTTTGTCAAGCATGGAAATTTCGATTTTTTGAATTTATTTTACTTTGATCTATAGCTTATCCTTAAATAGATATTTCTACGTTTCGTTGATATTTCAAAGAATGCTGGTGATCAAGATTCAGCAAAATATAAGTTGTTTTTTATTTAATAAGGAAAATTGACAGTCAATAACAACTACTTGAACAAGCAGAGACTTTTACAATCGTTCTCTCTATGAATGTGTGTTATCAGTTAACACACGTGGTTGAGTCATTCGCTGCTGTTTTTTCCTAGGGAAAATTGTCATTGAAATTTAAAAAAAGATATCAATTATTAGACAGAGCTGGTTCAAGCCAAAATGCTTCTCAATTTGTGTTTGAACGATAATATTGAAGATGAGAGTAAAATTCGATCGCCAGTAAAATTTAAAATTAATACTAGATCAACATATTATTTAATGCCGTATTATTTTAGATATACTGTTTGCTCCCATTGATTTATTTTCAACAATCTACAGCTAAATATGTTAATATGTTCTTCTAGAAATAATAGGTTTAATTATTTTAAGCTTCATTTTATTTCACATTTCCTAATTGAATGATATCACAACATGTTCTACGTGCAGAATTGCTCATTTATTGTTCGTAAGATCTGCCTTTATCGTATATGAATCAGAGCTAGGACGAGTACAAGTACAGCAAGTAAAAGTATTTTACTTGTACTTGAAAAAATTTACTTTTACTTTTACTTGTACTAAAAAAATTTACTTGTACTTTTACTTGTCGTTTCACAAGTATACTTGCGCCTGTACTTGTACTTGGAAAAATAATACTTGGTACTTCTACTTGTGTTTCAAGTAAAGTATTTGGTGCTTATACTTATACAGTGGCAAAAGTACTTGATAGTTATACTGGGTGAGTCTTAATGAATGGAACATATGAGTACGAAGTACTTTTCCCTAAGTACAAGTAGTTGCACTTGTACTTTTCCTACTTTTCAAGTAAAAGTACAAGTGCCAAGTATCTTTTTGAGAGTACAAGTACAAGTACCGAGCACATCTAATGAGTACTTGTACTTGTACTTGTACTTATACTTTCAAAAAGATACTTGGTACTTGTACATTTACTTGAAAAAGTACGAAAAGTACAAGTAAAAATACTTTCGTCCGAGCTCTGATATGAATGATATTATGTCTTATTGGTACGCGCAGGAATAAGCTATATATAAGAGAAGGAAAAAGAATAAAACAAAATTTGGTAAATGACCGGAATGGTTTCGTGAGATTTCAACTGAAACAGAAGTTTTTGAAAATTTTTAATTTGATTTGTTCTGTTTTGTTTTATTAAACACTTGCTACTATAACAGTTATACTATTCATATACAATTTGCCTCATTGCTCTTTCGCTTATTAACTAATTATAAAACTCAAAACTACAAACATAATTATAATTGATGTATTTCTTCTCTACAATGATGCTGCCATATATTGCACAAATCATCTGAATACCATTTGACACATAACAACTCTCTCGAATATTTTATTTTATGTAGGCATAATAAAAAAATTAAATCGTTGAAAGACCGTAATAATTCAAGCAAGAATATACAATTATCTCGGACGGATATTTCCAAATCTTCAGTAAAAGCAGCTAATATATATTATACTCTTTAACTCTCTCTAAGTGGTCTTTTTCTTTTCGTTCCGCTTTACATTTATATGTTCTAATAGGCTTATTTGTATATTATATATATAGCTGATAAAATAAGTCAATATTATTGAAGATATTGATGATGATGATGATGAAGTTATAATAAAAAAAATCGAAAAGAAATTCAAATTCAAATTTTTATTTTGTAGAAGAAAAAGAATAGAATCACAATACAGGAAATATTTATTTTAAACGACTATCTGAAATAGATTCTAGTCTTAACACATCATAATCTCAATTATTTGATGATTTGAAAAACACCGTTGTTTCCTGTTTAAATTATAATTGATAGGCACGATATAATAAAATCTTGTCAAAATAGTCATAATTAAAAGTTTCTTATCGTCAATTGTCTATATGATTGTATAATATTAAAACGTAATGAAACAAAAAGACTTTCATGAGATTAATTCAGCTCATACTGTAACATATATGATGATAGTCGAAATGATTACTCATACAGAAATAAAGTGGAGATTTTTTTTTCTCATTATAGCGATGTTCTGAACGCTGACGAATTTGAAAATACGGTAATGACAAGCACTTTGATGGCAGATGACCAAAGTAATTTGGCTTCGCGTAACATCCCTCTTTTATTTTCCAGTGTTTATATTGATGATTCCAATGGAAATAGAAAATACTGTGTTCGTGATAATCCAACAGAGCTGTATACTCTTGCGCTATTTCAAATACTCAAAATAGACGGCATATCCTCGGTGTGCAATGTTGTTGACATAACTCTTGACATGTCATTGACATGTTGGTACGAAGCATCATGTTTCGAACCGTTTCGTTTGGTACTCTTCTCGCAGTTTGTCCGGGGACCAATAAATATTCTTTTATTAGATCCAACACAGCCAATTAGATTTTGGTCTCAAAGTCAATCATTGAGACGTGTCTATAACAATATGATGATTGAAATTTTTAATTCATCTGTTTCTTATGAAGCTTTTTATGAGACCTGCCATCCATTATATTGTACATTTACATACACAGAACATGCTCATATAATAGTTATAATCACGACATTGATCGGCCTTTTTGGTGGACTCAACGTCATTTTGCGCTTACTATCCCGCTTTCTTGTAAAATTGTTTTTCACATGTATCGCGACAAATCCAAACGCTACGCGATCAATTGCACAGAGTGAGTGAGGGTGTGGGTATGAGGGGTCGTCTGGGAAAAGATGGTCCACACCCAAACCCAGACCCCATCATATCAGGCACGCAAATGAGACATGCTATACATAGCTTTATTTTATTTTTCTCTAGGTCAAAACAATCGATGGACAAAATACAAAGAGCAACTAGTCATGTTCAATCGGTTTTCAGATGGATCACAAGAGATTCATGTTATTAAACGTCAACGCATTTTTACACGCTTATATTTACTATTGATACTGATTAGTTTCATGGTCATCATAGTATATACAGCAATGGAAAAAAACGTTGTAATTAAAATAGTCGAATCACCATCTCAAGCTCAATATAACGAGTTACTCGGTCAATATTCATCTACAATTCAATGTCCATGTACAGCGGTTTCAATGGACCTAAGTCAATTGGTTAGTGTCAATGCAATTTATCATCAAGTATGTTCAAGTGCTTTTGTCGAAACAGAGTGGATTTATTTCTTGTTCAATGACATAAATCGGAACAATTATAAACGAGCAGATATTCGTGTTCGAGGAGGCGCTTATTTTCGTTTTTTATCGAAATTATGTGCACTCATGAACACTACAACTCAGACTTTGGCACAGGAATTCTTTGCAGATTCTTTTACTAGTGCTAAAGCAATATCAGAAGATGAGTTTCAATCGCGCATGAACGTGCTACAATATCAATTTCAAACATCGATCGAACTCCAACTTACGCATGGATTAAAAATTGTGCGTGATATCACACAAGCAAATATATTCGTTTCGAGTTATATGTTGAACTGTAATAGATATTACAGAATTCTGAGTACTCTACAAGCTGTCACGAGCCCCGTAATTTAAAATGATGGATGTTTTTGTGGAACTCGAAGTGATTGTATCGAACCAGCAGGTATCTATAATTTTTCAAGTGGTCAACCTATCTATTTGATGCCAGGATGGAATGTAGGGTGTTCAATAGTTGAGACAGTACTACGATCTACTCTTGAATGCTAATATGATCAAGCATGCATTGACACAATAGTGAGTCATATAAACAATTCTTCAACAAATGTTGTCAATGCAACAGCATTAAACTCATCCTTAGAGACTCATTTCTTATCCCCTGCAACTTTTGAAGATATGACCAATCAATTAATTGTGGAACATTGGTATTTCAATGCTTCGCATCAGAATTTTTATGCACATTGTAGTCCAACCTACTGTTTGTATGAAGTTGAGGAAGTCAGAAGTATTGCCTACATTGGATCACGAATCTTGTCCTTGTATGGAGGACTAACAGTTAGTCTGCGTTTTGTTGTTCCATGCGTAGTGATACTCTTCTTCAAAATTAAAGACCGATATGGTAACAATTTAGTACATCATTTTGCTTGATTTGATTGTAACGCTTCGACTCATCATTTAAATAAAACTGAAAAAAAAAGACTTCTGCATAAGTTTTTGTTGCAATACATACGTATTACATTGAAATGGAAATTTTGATATAAAAGGAAGACTTGAACATATCATCAATTTTATTCATTGGAACAAATTTTGAAAATCAAAGTGACCAGGTGGAAAATTTAAAAGTCAGAAATTAATCAGGAAAAACAATCTTTTTGATGAAATTTTAATAAATATTTCGTTAAAAGATTGTGGGTGTAGGTTAGATATGGCACTTTAACTTTAAAATACTTCAATTAAAGTATTAAAGTTAAAGTAAAGTTAAAAGGCCACCCCTAGTGTGGGTGCGGATTATTCATTGACCCACACCCCATTTTGAAAACAAAGACTAGTATGATGACGACAGTCGCTTAATGGCTTGTCATTGTATATTTGCATATGTCATGTAAAAACATATCTGCTGTGTTTGCTACTTGATATCTACTATTTGTTTTATAAAACAGAGAGAAAGAGAGAGAGACACTCGCATTTCTACTACCTAAAAATATCTATATTTTAAAGTTAAGATGAATAAACAGTCCTTCAAATTCATGGCATATGAAATTTTTATATTATTATCTACAATTTCGTTTGTTTCGAGTTTTTCATGTCGGCTCTTTGGAATAGATCAAACAACGCTCGATACAAAATTTATCGAATTCTATAATACATCGTCTCATCGTCATGTATTAGATTTAGGCGGTTCAGTATTTCAGAGTCCATCAGCAACAGTAAAACTAGATAATCGTACATACCTTAGTACGTATAATACTTTTGATAGTAAAGCTATACCTTATTTTTTCCTACTAATGATTGATGTGAAAACTAAGTCAATCAAACTTAACGTATCATTAATCGAAAAAAATGATTATGCAGGATTTTATCATATTGGAGTGACGCGTGAGAATGGTAACATTTATGGTATCAGAGAAAGTTTCAAGTCTCCGTTAAGTTTAGAAGTAGCTAACATCAATCAAACAACAGGTCTTATGAAATCTATTGGAATATATCCAGCTGGTTCATTTAGTATTATCATAGCTTTTGCCTCGAAACGCAGATTGTATTATAATGTTATAGATTCGACACTCTATGGTATCAATATTGATACAGGAAAATTAGAGGTACATAGTCAAATACCTGGAGATTATTCCATCTATGCTCTTGACTATGATTCTGCTAAAGATCGACTCATTGCTCTAGTTTATCCAGCTGGATTAAACGATGGCGTTTGGTATTTAGTTGAAGTCATTATGAAAGCAAAAGGTGAACTTGAATTTGATCGTATTGGTAAAAGTGAAATTCCATTTGAGAAATATTTTTGGTCAACCAACTATGCACTCGATGCAGAAAAACGTCTATGGGTTACACTATGGGGCACAACAGATAATAAAAAAAATTATTTTTTTGTGTTCAATATCGATAATGGAAAAATTGTTGAACAAATGGCAACGAATCTGACTGAATTAAGTAATCTTGCTTGCTTCGATTCAATTTGATCCTTGTTAATATCTTCGAAATAATGCATTGAATAAATGTTTCAAGAGAAAACAAATAACTTCATTTATCATTCATTGTGATAATTCGGTAAACACAACGATATTTCATTTATTAAGATAAATGTGTCATAGGGAAACTAAAAAACAACGAAATTATTTGTTCATCTCTGAAATCAATTCAGAAATATGAGACGATTGATTTGTGTTTCGATTGTACTATTCCATGAGATAAATCTATATAACAAATTCAATAGCCTCTAAGGACATGTTTTCTTCTTACGATAGATCTCGTAAATCCAAACTATTCATTTTGTGGAATTCACATATATTTTCGAACAAAATGGGGAGTGTAAGTTTAAAAGCGAGATTTTTTGGGCTCACCCCTCCCAATTACAGACACCACCATTACAGGCAATCATCCTGTAGTACACTGCAGTGGTTGGAAAATAAGGTGTTAGTGCTGGTTAAGCAAAGGCTGCGCGGTTGCCAAATGGCATGACATGGCCACTTGTTCCGATAACATACGGGGTTTGAGTTGGATACCAAGCAGTTGCTTGTCGCGCCAGTGTGTGCCTTTTGTAAATTCGCAGCAAAATTCCAAGAAAAGTCACGACTAAAACTGCGACAATCGGTGCACATATATAAACACTGAAGGAACGATTCGAAGACTTTAATGATTTATCAGGATTACGTTGGCAAGTGCTAAGCTCAAGATCACAGTATTCAGAGTCACAGGCATAGCTCACGGCGCACATATAACCATTGATCTTTGTATGTTCACAAGTCATTGACGATGAATCATAATACTTACTACCACCACATTCTCGAGGGTGAACATCATGACCTTCACAAGGTTCGTGGAGTTCAATTCGATCTCGACATGTTTTGTTTTTGCAGTAATATTCGCAAGGCGTGTCATCGGAACAAGCACATCCGGATATACATCGAGTTGACATGGTAGCAGGTAAGAAAAATATACCAAGAAGAACAATGAATAGTTTCATATTGAATTTTTGTGTTTGAAAACAGTATAATACTGTTATCAATGGTTGTATGATTTATAAAAAAACAAAAAAAGTAGATGTCATTATGGAAATTAAAAGAAGTGTTACTCATATATTTCGCTATTATAACTATCATACAAGTGTTATTTATCTCTTCTTTTCTTTACTTAGTTCATGATTTTGATCATTCATTTATTAAATGTTCATTAGATTTCATTGACCTCGAATTAACAGATTTTCAGAAGGTATAGACAATTGATTACTTTCCAGGACGAGAAGTCAGATAGCATAATCAGTCATGGTATCTTGTATAATCGCACCCGATCTTACTCAAGGATTGTATGTGTTAATACCAAAACATATAAAAACTCATACGAAAAACCGTCGTCTCAGAAAGCTGATGTCAATTCTCACGTTAAGCGTCTAATTTGCTCCAACAATACAATCATGTATTATTGGTTATTTTCTACATTCCTCTGGAAATAACCATTCAAGTTAACTTCACATAACCATCAAAACTTCAAATTACAAGCCTAACCCAAAGGCACCTAAACTCAGGGTAATATCAATCAATAAAAACCATAACATCATAGTCACAAAAACTTATGCGTAAAATTTTTTACTTTATATACTATTATTAACAAAAAAAGAAACAAAACTAACTGTGTTCTATCTAAATAGTATAGAATAATAACACGGTAAAAGTTTAGAAGTTCTCGATTATTTAATATGGAGAAAGAAAAACTACAAGTATCCATTTTATAGGGTGCGGGTGTGGGATGCACTGTCAGTCTGAAGTATGGAGTCACACCCACACCCTCAGCCACCCTTAAGAGAGATTTTCTTGAGTACAAAGATTCAAAAACAAAAAGAAAACTTAATCTTTGAATATTCAATTTATTGCTTTTGGTGATAATCATCATTTGGGACCATTGTAAAAACGATGATTGCCAATATCTCGCAGAAAAACGCATCTTTTAGGCCACAATGCATCAGGTTATTTGCTTGGATTATTGTAATGGTCTGCTTCTCCTGCTGGGTCTCGGCTACTGCCATTTAAAATGTTATCGGCCGCCTCGCAGCATTTTGCGGGTGTGGGTGTGGGTGTAAATCTTCCAATCGTCAATACCTGTATTGACAGCCAGTCACCCACACACACTCCGTCTAGATGAACTCTATGCCAATACAACAATAGCACAGTAGTTATCACCCATTATCAATGACTAAAATGAAATTTCGCCCGTCGATTTTTCTGAACAAAAAATGTTCTTCGTTCATCGATGAAATCATTCTTCTAAGTTAAGAAATTCGACTTTAAACTAGACATTACTATTACTTAGTTTTTATCATCACCCATAAATAAAATGACAGCGTTATTGGTTAGAAAAATTAGAGGAAAGAAAATAAAAAGCTGCAATAACACGTGCTTGCGTTAAGGTGCAATTTTTTAACATGATAAGTTGAAACTCAAAGCAAGTCAAAATAGAAAGGAGACCCGAGCACACATTTTGCGTCAAACAAACCGTGCCTATGATTCATACATCGTACGCTATTGGTTTGAGTAAATGATTCATACATTTAAAAAAGAGAAATCATTTCGGTGATGACGACTACATAGAAATATGTTTTGCGAGCACATCAAAGACTAATCATCATTTTTAACGTTATTGTTTACACTCAAGAAGAATTATAAATATTATCGTATCATTTATTCTAAACTTGATAAATATTATTTGATTCTTCTTTGTATATTTTAATATAACTTATTGACAAATCTATCTGAAGATGAATTTGTCTCATATTCAGCTGCTGCTCATACTTGGAATTGTTTCTATGATTACTAGCAATGACAATGATTCCAGTATTATTGCACGCATCTATTCAAATTTAGTCGAGGTAATTATACCACTTCAACAAGAGCTACCTCTTGAATTTTCAGCGAATGAATGGTCTTTTATGCGAACCGATTCGATTACGCTCTTGAATGCTAATATAACATCACAAACCGTTGTCGAGAAGAAAAAATTATTAAACAATATTTCCATTTATGTTCGCTGGCCTCCATCGCATGGCATTGATCTGAAAGAAGCAAAACTTGTCGATGAAGAGAGAAGATTAGTTAAAATACGTCCTGAAAATAAAACCGAGTTTATTTATTACATACTACCAGAAAATGAGCCTATCATGTATGTCAACGAATATCCATCGGGATCACGATTCTATGTTGACTTCACTTACAAGAATATGCAAGCTGATCAACCGGTGTACGTGAGTTATCTTTCTACAAATCTAAAGTGGAAAGTAAACTATCAGTTGATGCTCGAGAATGAGGATGCAAATTTGTCACTGCTCATCGCCATGGCCGATATTCGGAATGATGCTCCATCAGCAATGTCTCTAGAGCAAGTGGAGCTGTTTGCTGGTGACATCAATATAAAAGTGCCTAGCTCATCGTTAATGTCGCACCACCGCTTCATGGCAATGGAGAGCGTCATGGCCACGTCGAATTATAATATGTTTGACTCAGAAAACGAAAACTTCGTTTTCGAGTATGCAGAACTTAATGGAGTCTATGCATATAAGATCGATAAACCATTTTATATTGGTGGTATGACCAATTATATCCTATCTATGTTTCATGATAGAGTTAATATTGAACAGTACGTAAAAATTTCAATATCGTCTTATGGTGTTTCCGCATTGGAAGGTAAAGGAAAACGCTCCTATCGGCTTAAATCATCTAATCGGTTTTTACCGCAAGGGACATGCATTGTACGCCATTCGAAACGTATTATAGGCGAAACACAATTATCAAACATTGCCGTAAATCAGTGGTATGAATTTATGTTAGGAGACGATCCAGATATTGCCTATCAACAATATTCTACTCTACTCTCTACTACACTTGATAAAGATAAAGTTGAATCCATGAAATCGCAGCGTCGATCAGTCTATGCGATTGAGATTCGTTTAAGCAATTTTAAAAAGAGCTCTGTTGATGTTAAATATTCATATAACGTTAATGGTTACACACTGATACGTTTGTTACCTTCTCAATCATCTTCGTTGAATGTAAATGAATCGCAATCATTATTCCAACAGAAAGACTCAGACATTAAAGCAAACATAAAGATCGCTGCTAACGAACTTCAAACATTTTCGTATGAAATCGAAGTAGTCAGAAATGAGTAACAGTTATTTCTCTTTTAAACATCATAATTCATGATGAAAAACGACGTCTTTTTTTCAACGAGTTTTTTCTTTCTTTTTACACAAACAAAAAAATAAACGAATCAAAAACATACTGAGTGAATTCACTATTAGAAAAACACCATATATGTTGACGTTCTCTTTTCATTACACCCTCTTCAAATGGCTAGATCACCAATTTCAACATCACTGTGGAATAGCAAAGTTATTTGGTTCTGGCAGTCGAATTCCAATCGTTTCGATGAAAATGAAGACAACGAATGGAAATTTTATTCAGATTTTGAAAATAAATTCATCGAAAACTCTTACCAAAATCAAGAAAATGAAGTAGAACTAAATAATTATAAAATCGATTTCAAAAGAAATATACAATTCGATAAGCAGGATAGATATAAACAAAGACCAGTGAAACGTCAAATAATCGATATCAGTAATTATGTCCGACAAGAGAGATTTTGTTTTCCGGAAGAGCCACTGAAGTCATTTGCAAACCATGAAGAGGGAGCTAATTTATACACATCGTGGTTCATAACACACTATGAAATAGCAGATACAGGTTACAAAAATCTTTATCCAATTGCTGAGCTTGTTGCTCAAGGTAAAAACATTGTGAAATTACAATTCGTTGTAAACTGAGTGTCAAATTTGTTTTTATCAGGCATTTTAATAGAAGGCAAACTCCTAAATGAAGAGTTTGATGCACAGCAAATGGCCGACGAATTAAAATGTTGCAAAGGTGATGAGGAAATAAAAAGGTGCGCTGTTCGTCTTTATTCAGCCGAATCATTTCTGTATAAGTTGCTAAATCAAACATTAAGAAATGAAGATATGAGTAAAATTGAAACCTTAGGTCCACTCTGTCATTTGTTGAACGCAAATATGTATTGTGATGTATCTGATAAAGAACAAATTGTTTATCGTGGTGCAAATCTTACTGACGGCATACTTGAAGAATATAAAAATGCTATCGACACAGCAATCCAATGGTTGTCATTCACGTCTACATCAAAAGTCCGTCAAGTATCAGAAAACTGTGGCAATACATTATTCATTATTCGACTTCATGAAAAAAGTTTACAAAGTCAATTTGATCTATCCTCTGTTTCATACTACCCTGAAGAACAGGAAGTATTGCTACCAATTTCTTATAATTTTCATGTCGATAAAATTGAACACGATTCAACAAGTGGGAAATACTTGATTTATATGACAGGAAACCGAGAAACATACTAACATTGGCATATATCTTTAATAGGTATTCTGATTGGAGAAGAAAAATAGCATTTAAGCAGATCATTTTTTCTTTTGTCATCTAATAAAGATTCATTCTCTATCTGATTGAGAGTGTGGGTGTGGGTGTGAATATTTCATTGATACACACCCACACCCTCAACAATTCTTAATACTCATGAAGAATAATTTAACGTTGAAAACACCAACAATACCAATGTACAATTCAATGAAAGGCTGTAGTGTATCATTACGATGTACATTTATTGATCATATTGTTTATCTTTATGTTATGTCTCCATTATGTCTTATTGATCTTATATTAAATGTAATTATTTTAATGATCGTATCTGATCATTCATTTAAAAATTGACATCGTATTACACTTGTTGTTTGCATAATCTGTATATTTGTTAATTACAAATTATACTCCACCACATACCTGAAATGACAAATATTTTCGTATGTGGTATTTAGTTAACTTTTATATCCCATGAGCAAATATAATTGCAGCATGTAATGTTTTATTAACGATAAGGATGACTATTGAAAGACTTGTTAGTATACGTTGGCCTATGGAAAAACAACGTCTAGTTAGTTCCAATCGTATGTTAATAATATTAGTAATATGCTTTTTATTTCCAGCGCTTGTTTATAAAGTTAGTGAATGTAGTAATCTTACAGTAACATCGATAGCTGAAACAAAAGCGTATAAATATTTTGATTTCTGTAAAGAAATTATATTTCATTTTATTCGTATATGTATTCTTGTATGTGTAAATTTTCCTTTATTATCAACTTTACATACTGCTAGTAAAAAATTAAAAACACAAAGAAGATCTTCTGAATCAATAATATTAGCATCGCCGACAGTTCGTTTTCAATCAATAAAATTGATTTTGATGTAACACCAATAAAGAAATGTTTATCTGAATTGCAATCATCATTTTCATGTGAATCAACATTAACACCAAATGTTAAGAGTAGAACATCGAATTATGAAATAACATTAATCAATAACGGTCATTCGAGGAGCATTTCGTACAGAAATTAAACATATTTGTTTTTGTTTTACAAGAAATTAATACAATTTAATTGTTCTTCTTTCTTTATTTTTCGTATACTTGTATTATCTCTTGTTAGTGAATAAACCAACGGAAAGCAATCTTAGTATAACTGTAATACAAATATAAAACGAAGGCTAAAAGTAAAGAAATATATTCTCCATCAACGATGCATTCGAACTGATATTTATGCCTTATATGCTATGTAATTATGCCCAAAAAAATCACATGTTATCGTTGTTTTTTGGAAAATCGATCTATGTTTCTGGTCTATAATTTATGGGACTTAACGAGAAATTTAATGAGTGTTAGCTTTTCTATTTACACTGATATTTGCTGAATGAATAAAATTTAATCAATTCACTTTGATTAAATACTTAAGATTGAAAATTTTCCATTCAATAATTAACAATGCTCGAATAAAATTAGAATGATAGATACTACTTCGAATGCATTTTTAATAGAAAGAAAATATTCCTAGAAATATATGTTCTCTTATATTTGGTCTACTCTACGTTCTCACGGATGTGTTCAGACTATCACATCCTTTATGAAAATTAAATGCAATGCAGTAAAACTTTTTGAGAAAACATCGACACGAATATTCTTTTTTTCTCATCAGACAAAACGCCTGTACGAATATGAATGAATATATAAAAGTGTATTAATTTGAATAATAAAACTGTTTTAGACTGTGGATGGGTGTTGATATTATTTTCTCTGGCACTCAAACTCTATTTCATCGTAAAAATCACTAATACGAAGAGAAGACAAAAAGCAAGTCACAAAATTTTTTGTTGAACAAACGTGTGCACGATCGAATTCAATCAATAAATTTGTTAATAATTCCAAAAATCATCAAAACTAAAACAAAATATTCAGTGTATTTGAAAGAAATTGTTTTTTCTTCATACTCATGATTATTCCAATAATGATCATGACAACGCTAATGACAATGATCCATGTCTAAATTTAAAAAAAGGAAATTGATCAAACGATGGAAAATTCATTCAAATTCGAATTTACTTTAGCATTTTTCCAGCAATATTTTTGATGCACTTTTCGGCTCATTTGGACCATGCGCTTGGCTTCTTCCTCCATTATACCTGTTCAGAGTTGTTTGTATTCAATCGTCTGATGAAATATTTTGAAATGAACTTACTCGATCTCCTTTCTAAATCGTCAAGATTGTCTCCACGAATTAATCCTAACTGAATATTCTTATGCATAATATCGATTGTCTAAAATTAATCTATTTTAAAAAATCGATCAGAAAATGGCAAAGCGTGATACTAACAATTGCAACTTGTTGCTGTAAATGTTTAACGTCGCTATCATTTCCAATAGTGTGGCTTCTTGGACGTATTTCTCGCGTTGGTAACTTCAATGTCCTATTGGCAGGCAAAAGAAAACATGCTCGAAGCTTTATTGTTTTCAAAACAAAAATGCATATCTTACATGTTAAAGTGATTTATCTACTCAAAATAATCTCGTTGTGCCAAACAAAATGAAGCACACACAATACCTGGTATTGCATTTTTTTTCTTTCAATAATGAGTCATTATGAGTCACTACCACTTGCATAAAACACTGTTTGCTATCAGAGCAATTGGCAAGTGCCACGCCGAGATTCTCAAATCAAAACGAGATAAAAAAAAAGGCATTTAATAACTTTTTAGATATGATTAAAGAACTCATCTTATGATTCTGATGAGAAGCACTAAAAGTACTATAAAAGTTATTTTGAATTTTAATTGTAAGAATTGCATTAGATTCACTTGCTCAAGATCTACAGTCTTACACAAAACCGAAAATTTTATTTAAATAAAATTCCATACGACGTTTGTATCAATTTTAGTGCTTCTTGGTAAGTTGACTGACTACTCATCAGAATCATACGATGAGCTTTTTAACCATCTCTAGAAAGCTGTCAAATGTTGATCTCTATTAAATGCTGAAAATAGCTGACCGATAGCTATTCCCATTACACAGTTATTCAAATAATTAAGTGACATTTTTGAATCATAGCGAAATATTCCAAACATAGATGCTCATTTCGTGAATTATGCAATTGATTCACGCCGATATTCATTTTCAGAGATATTTCCCCTTTTGCTTTCAAGTACAAAACGAAAACAGAATCAGAAAGTTGAGAGTCGTAAAAACACATGACTTTTTATCTTTCAGCTAATCCTGATACACTTGTGCTCTTATAGATCTTAAAGAATAAATCCGATCACATCAACTAAGCAAAACTTATGTTATCAAATAATTCTCACGATTTGAGTATTTCAATCAATATTTTTTTATATCTGTTAGTAGTTCTATCCCGATCAGCGTTCGATGATGTATATTTTGAGTTCAATCACGGAATCAAGAATATTATCATTGATCATGACGGAGCATATATTATTTAGTTGACAAACTATATTATTCGATATTTTCCTGTTGAATTCTATTCGTTTGTATATTTTTGAAATGGAAGAAAAAGAACATCATAACAGTTTTCCTGTCATAAAGACATGTATTCAATTGATCGGATTCTGTCACTGAAATTTTGTAGAACTTTTGTTAACTAGAAATAGAAGATGGCATATTTTCTTCTTAAATAATGCTTATTGCAAAAGATGATATGTGACTGAGAAGTCACGAAGAAATTTTTAAAAATTGCAAAGCCGTCAAAGTAACACTCGTAATAAGGCCTTTCAACAATATAACTACTTTTGCGGCGGTGCAACCGAGAGACTGTTCTTTGTATCTGAGTATGACTATGAAGATTCTTCTCCTTTCACGGCGCCCACGTTTGGTTTTTAAAGAAAATTGTGTGTAAGTTTAAAGGCGAAGTCTTGACCCACCATTCTCCATCCCCTTATAGACAATCCCCGTTACAGGCAAACCAATGCCGCACAAATCGACAGAGAAACGCCGGTTAACCGCGGTTATGTAAGCCATTTTAACGACTTTACAGTGTAAAAATCGATGGTTAACCGGCGTTTCTCGATCGGTTTGTGCAACACGGGAAACTTGTTTCAGAAACGACTCACCCTAAAAGATGTAACCATATTGATTTTATTATAAATCTTGAATCATAAAATCTTACAGCTAAATATATATATAGATCTTTTTTGTTTTGAACTACGTTCAGTATCAAATGCACTGAATCTCGGATAAGATGAAGTGCACGTGCATTTTTCAGTGCCTTTATGGATGATTAATCGAAAATAATAATATGCAAATAAATTAATAGAAGTAATAGTTTGCTCTACTTCATTCATTTTGAGCTCACGAAAATTTTTTTCGACGAAGTAAAAAACGAGTCAGAATATACAATAATTACGTCACCGTTTAACATTTGACATATTTTGCTGCATAAAAGAATCAAATGATGGTGGTAATTGTAAAAGAATAGTATCGATAATATTCTTCATAGTTGTATTACCCTACAATAATATTTCAAATGAAGCTTGACATTGCTGTAAGAAATAGTAAATATCAAATTTTAAGAATTCTAAAACAAAACAAAACGAAAATTTATTTCTCACCTATTTAATATCGAACGAGTAATTCGATTTATCACCGATAGATATCCGTTATTGTATACAAGGATAAATAATAATCAATTATCACAATAACTAATCAAATTAATAAGCTAAAAATAAACATTGCTTTAAAAAACTGTTCATGTGAAGAAGAAAACTTCTTTCTTGCATTGAACTATTTAGAAACCACTCATTTTATCTTCATGGGTAGATTTCATAAAATTGAATAAAATCATTCACTAGAACAACTAAAAACTAAAAGGATACAATGTAAGATGTCTCGATATAAAAATATCATAGCTAGTAATGCACACTTGATCTATTGTATTTCAAGCGAATTGTTTTATTTGAGAAGCTAACCTAAATTTATTTATATTGACGGTTTATTAATGAGAAATTCATCATTCAAACCTTCACTGTATCTTTCGATATATAGTTATGAATTACTTTGATCAACATTTGATTACCAATATTAAAATTTTTTATCATATTATCTAAAGAACATGTTACCTAGAAATATTTAATCTTTGTAAAAATCAAATGTAGGAATTGATTTCCTCACAAATAAACCTTTTTTTAAATATAATCGCTTAAATTGATAACAGGTGCATTATGATCAAAAAAATAGTTCACTTCTTTTGAATTATTTACAGTCAGCATTGCAACTAGAAGTAGCAATGTGCAGTGTCGGTATACTGATCACCGACGGTGCTCCACTGAGAACACCGTCGGTGCAAGTCAGTGCTCCACTGGACAATTTCGGTGTAGTCGGTGGTCAGTTTTTCAGTATTTACACCGACACTGCACATCCCTAACTAGAAGCTGTAGCTGTAGCTGTTAATGAATAGAAAATGAATACCAACATTCGCATTTCGCCTTCTAGAATTTCGCATCGGTGATCAAATCTTTATTTAAGCATTCCATGTCTTCTAGTTAGAGATGTCCATCACGGCTGGTACTGGGCCGCTACCGCACCTCAATGAGTTTAGAAAAATCTGATTTTACCCACTGCCGCTCCGCGATGCTCCGAAAAGTAAACATTGCCGCGACGCGCCGCGATGGCAACAAAAACTAAGTTGTCGCTGTCGTGCTGGTACCGCGACGTTATAAATAGTACGATCTACAGCAAGTTCTCTGTTTTCTAATAAAAAATCGATTATATAGCATACAATTCGTACGAATCATTACGTCAAATATCAGTATATAATGAAATGGACAACAATCTTGCATTTATTAGAGCTTCAATTGAGTAACGAACATACTGTGAGTAAGCGAGAACACCTGTAAACTTTAAATATTAAATTAAGCAGAAAGCATTGTATGAATAAAATAGAGTACTCTTATTTCGTTTGAATAGCTGATATTTTAGCATTGGCAAAGCGAGAGACTAGTAACTTATAGAAAGCAACTGGCCCTATGGAAACATTATTTGATATGCGTGCAAAGTACTTGAGAATCTTGACTAAGAAACTCATGCGCTGTAAATAAATCTTGAGGTTTGGTCAGGTGGACGGTATGGAGAAAAGGTTCGCTTGATGTGACTATATAGTAGTAAATCAGTGAAACAATATAGATTACAATATTTTAAATAAAATATCTGCCATTTAAAATTCTTGCATCTAATGATGATTGAAACTTTTTCGTTTATATAGTAATGTATGTCCATTATAAATGAGGTATAATATTAATTCTTGAAAATCTAGTAGCATGGTCCTACATCAAGTCATCATATAATTACGTGATGCCAATGTTTATATATCAGTTATATGATTCAAGAGCAATGAAAATGAACTAATTGATAAAGGAAAAATTGGTTTGCTTTGGATTAAATTGAAACAATCTACTTAAGTATTGGAGAATAATTCTATTCCGCAATGTTGAGCATTCCGGAACCAGTTCCGCTCACGGAACCAATTCCATCTAATTCCCGGAATTCAGTGCACCCACACTGACATTCAATCCCACACTTATGGCAACACCCACACTGATACCCACGCTTATGGCAACACCCACACTGACACCCACACTGACATTCACCCTTATCGCAACACCCACATTTACACCCACACCATGCAATTCCGGTACGGANTGGCTGGCAAAGAGTTTCGTATAACATCTCTTAGAAGTATCGCTGCCAAAGGGTTTTGTACAGTATACTTTTCCCTGTACATTTATGCTGTCGATAGATGCTGACTAATCAGAGAGTCGTTCAGCCTCAATTCTTTCATCCGTCTACGTATTTAGAATTCACTTTATTATCCCCTTTCAATGTTGTATAACTGTATTTTTGAGCTCACATGCTTTCGTAGTGACTGTTTTCTGAAAAAGTACAGAAGGGCTTCACTAGTATGGCAACACCCAGACTGACACCCACACTTATGGCAACACCCACACTGATACCCACACTTATGGCAACACCCACACTGACACCCACACTGACATCCACACTTATCGCAACACCCACATTTACACCCACACCATGCAATTCCGGTACGGAATTCCGGGAATTAGGTCGAAACGGCATTGAACGGAATTACACGGAATTCCTAGGAATTCCGTCTGATTCCCAGCGATTCGGTATTGACCTAATTCCGGAATTCCGAACCGGAATCGGATCATCACGAAATGGGTAAGACAAGATAGAATCGTGATACAAGTTGTAATTCCGGAATTACTAGGAATTCCCAGTGAGTCCGCTTTCACCTAATTCCGGAATTGAACTGAATTCCATGGAATTCCGGTAATCAGACGAACTAATTCCGGAATCGACAGTGTTCATATTTGACCTAATCCGGAATCGACGGAACTGATTCCGGAATGTTCAACATTGCGGAATAGGATGACTGCTCAAATATTGTAGGTCTTATAGAAAAAAAATGAAATTTCAACCACTGCCGCGCTGTGCCGCGATGATAAAAAAGAAAATTTGCCGCTGCCGCTGAGACGGTAGCGGCAGCGGTAGCACCGCCATGGACATCTCTGCTTCTAGTATGCATGA